AATGGATTATCATTGAAAACAGCGAATAGTCACTAATTCGCAATTATAAGCATACTGCCGAAAATTACAGTAGTATACTTATAACTGTAAATCAGTGACTAATCGCTATTTTCAGTGACTACTTGTGTGTGATGGTTTTTTTAATAAATCTTCATATCTTACTCTCTAATGGTCAATCAGTGGATTATCACTGAAAACAGCGAATAGTCACTGATTCGCAGTTATAAGTATACTACCGAAAATTGCAGTGGTATACTTGCGATGGTTATTTTAACAAATCTTTATATCTTACTCTCTAAAGGCCAATCAGTGGATTATCACTGAAAACAGCGAATAGTCACTGATTCGCAGTTATAAGTATACTGCCGAAAATTGCAGTGGTATACTGATTGACCTTTAGAAAGTAAGATATGAAGATTTGTTAAAATAACCATCACGCGCAAGCAGTTGCGACACAATTAATATGAAAAAAATATCTCTTATATACAAGTTTCTTGCGTTTTTCCATATTTTAAATGCCTTTTTACGCCCCCCACATACCGTGTCTCGTGCTCTCTTTCTCATAAGAAAGAACGTATGTCCTTTACAAAGGAGACGCCCGTATCTCGCGAAGAATTGCGAGTCATTAATTTCAGCGGCCGCGTGGTCGGTAATACGATCACGGGAGTAAGGTCGATCCCCGTCGTCGCGAAGATTAAACGGTTGTGGTCCGGCCTGTCGTGAACAGGATGCTCTAGCGAACTGTGTGACACGTAGGCATCGCGATCTGTAAAAGTCAAAGGTGTGCCGCCCCGGCACGTGCCGACACACCGAGGACTATCGACACGGGAAAGACTCCGTTTCCAAGTGAACGGACGTAGATAATTCCCGGGGATAATTCTCGTCGAATCACCGCCGTAGTGATGCGGTAACAATGCCGGTGGAAAAAATGAAGGCGTGCGTAAGGTACGCGAGAGGTACGCGAAGGTTTTCGCTGAAATCACAACAGGCCATTAGATGAATTGGGTCGTTGTATAAGCTGGTTGAATATTTGTACGGACTGGGTCCGAACCGAGTGAAATTTATTGATTCAGCATGTAGATGAATTTGTCGAACGGGAGCGATCGCTACACCGATATTATTTCATGTAAATGTTCGGGAACTCGGGGGTCGGTGCGCACTGTGTTACGTACGAGCCTCACACATTTCCTAGTTAAAACACTATCACTTTTCTTGATGCCCCAAATTGACGGGGACATCATTAATTACGTCCACGCGGACTCGACGCATTAATACGAGCAATAAAACAGTACGCGCAGCTACTCCATAAAGCAAATGATTTTCTAGCCCCGTCGACTGCTCGGTCACCATTCGTTTTAATTCGAGGGTGACATCACGTCATATGGCGATCGTCGACGGGGCAGAACGGAATGAAGCTGGAAAAAAAGGGCTCGACGTTTTGCACACTGCGCGAAATAATGGCTGCGGTTCGACCGCCACTCGAGATGCGCGCAAAAATGGTCGATATCGTGTACGAATGCACACAATATACACATTGTTATATTACAGCATCGCGCGTCATCGGCGACAACGTCGTCCTCCCGGATCCTTTAACGTCGGCTACAGAGTCGATCGCCAAAGTGGGATAAAGTGATCGCCCGTTATCTTATCAGGAGAAAAATGTTATGCTATCGGGCAAGAGCGGTGCAACATTTCGTAAATTTAAGCAGACTAAATTGATCGTGTTATTGCAGCGAAGTATTGTAAAAATGTATAACACGGTTGAAAACGCGCCAAATCGCTTATTCTTCTACGAAATAATAACGTATTTTTAAAAATTATGCACAAAAGTTATTTATAAAAATCTTGGAGAAAGGGGGAGGGAGAGAGAGAGGACAGGAAGGATATTTTTAACGTAAATAGAAAGTCACGAATCTAAAAAAAAAAGTAAAGAGCAAAGAGTTGCTTGTTAGTTAAGCTCGGAGAGTTACTTATCGTCTCGTATCATAATAAAATAAAAAATTGTATTAAAGGGAATGTAAATGTCCTATGCTGGTGCAGCGAATGTGCGCGGAGTCGCTGTCGCGAAACATGTCGAATTTTCTTCAACAACGGGCGTGATATAAACGCCAGCGGCGGAACACGGGAGAAGAGAGAGAGAAAGAGGGAGGGGGGAGGGGACGAAACGCCGGGATTGCCGGATCTGTTTTTGCAGGCAACCTGGTTCGGACAGGTTTTTAATTTATTTCCCTTGGGATCGCGCGGAGCGTACGAATTATTATTCTTGGCGCGGCAAAACGAGGGATGGCTCGAGCAGAGCACCCCATCGTCGATGCGCACACCTCTTTCATGCCGTCGCGCTAATGGTTCCACATGTTACTTGACCCTCCGAGCAATTTTTCGGTTATATACGCGACATGCGAGAATGCCGTTTATACTTACACTTTATACTTAAAATTAGCACATGCCGTTCTACCCAGCATCTTTTACCCGCGTGTCCCACTTTGTATTTCAGGACAATTCCTTCACTTTTCTACCGGGTAGAAAACAATTTTGCCCACAGTATTATTTATATACTTCTCTCTCACTCCCTCTCTATGTATATATTAAAAATTATATAAATAATATTTAATACACACGAAGATAGCTTCCGGGGTCAATTATCGTATTATCGATTTACGCTAAATTACGTTTAAGTCGAGTCGAATTCTCCTCCGCTATCCGGAAATGGCTGTGCAGATAGCCAGCCTGCATTCCCCGTGCAAACACGCTCGGAAACTCGGGAGCGCCGTGCAGGCTCCCGTTCTTCACCGGTCCCGCTCTCTATTTCTCCCGACAGACATCCCAACGGCGTCCCGATATCCCAGGGCTCTATCTCGCGCTATCGATTGCCGCAGGCATCGCCGTCGCCGCGTCGCAACGCGTCGCATCGCGTTCTATTCGTCTCTCCCTATCGCCTCCGCCATACGAGGTGCCTTTTTCCACCGTCGTCCTACCCCTTCGCGATTACCGTCCTCACCCCGATACAGCTGTCGGGCCGCGACTCGGTGCAACAAGTTTGCCATTGTTCCGCATAACTGTCGTAGGCCGCGGGCGGAGAATCCCTCGACCGGACCTCGACGGCGACGACCTCGCACCTCAAGCGACTGCAATTTCGCGCGGATTGTCCGGAATCTTATCCCTCGCCATTACTAGAGGTGTGACATTTTGCTGTTATGCCTCGGCATTTTTGCGTTGTGTTTTTCCAGATTTTGCGTTATTTTCATGTTATTTTTTCGGCACCTTTTGCATTTTGTATTCGACATTTATTAAAGCTAGACACATGTTAAAAAATGTAACATAAAACATAACATGTTAAAATAGCATGGAACAAATTACTGAGATTACATGTCATTTTCAAGCTATAAAAGCAGTAACATATCTAAAAAAAAAGTAAACAAAAACGAGTCTTAGGCATAAATCTCTTTGGTTCAGCCCTAAAATTGAACAAAAAGGACTGAATGGTAACATTTTACAATCTCTAGCAAAATTATTGATATCAGTATTCAGCGACCTCAAAAATATATATAGACTTTCTCTCAAATTCTTCGTGAAATATCTCCGTGACCGAGTTTCGTTTCTTTTTTTGACATAAATTATTTATCAACAATTGCATGAAAATAATTAATATTAACGGGGCTTAGAATTTCATAGTTTATGTATCTAGGATCCTGTAGAATCTTGTTTCAGCATTATTGATGCAGAAATAGACTTATAATAATGAAAAAGCCGATTATCACGAGTTGAGACGTATACGTCCCGCTGCCCCGCAAAGGGTCAATACCTTGAACAAATATCAAAAATATCGCGGTATGCGACTCTCCGTCTGTCGCCGGCGTGGGGCACGAGCGCGAGGGCGAGGGGGTCGGCGGCTATGAAAGCAGCGGGAAAAAGACACGCCGAGAGGGCTTCAGCCGAGAGGGCTTTTTCATCCTGTCTCCAGCCACTCATTGCTTTTTTCTTTTCGCTATCCGCACTGAGAACCGTGCGACAAAGGCTACTGGCGTTAATACCACGGCATTGCGAATCACCATTGTTTAACAAGCTTTTGTGCTTGAAATTATTTATACGGAATTTGTAAAGCAAATGAACGGGATGTTTCCGCAACGATATCATAAAACTCGCGTGTTTTAATTAACCGTCTGTCGGACTCGCATCTGCCCCGAGCGCGACATTTCTCGTTAGTTCTTTAATATTCGCGCGGCAATTATTTTACATCCGTTGTCTCATCGTCTGTAAAACTCCTCGCTCTTATCGTAAGAATCTTGAAGCTACGATAAATCCTCTTATCGTCAGACCCCCCCATCGATTATACACGCTGCACTTACCCCGCTCCAGCCGTAGGGGAGGAAACCGCCGTGCTCGGACCAATTGTTGGAATCCACGTAAAACATGCCCGCCGCCATGACGAAGACCCAGACGGCGAGATTGATGGCGTTCAGCACATTGTTGAACACCAGCGATTTCTTCACCCCCGCCGCCATTAGCAGCATCATGAGTATCGTGATGACGAACGCGATAAAATCTGGCGGCCGTCCTGCAACAAACGCCATTTGCGGAACTTTCAGTGAAACTTATCAAAAATGCATTAGTCGCCCCGTACGAATGGCGAACGGGTCGATGTGGAGACGCGAGAAAATCCGGCGACCGTCCTAGAACAACACGAGTGTCTCGAGGCCTCGATTATTCATCGGAAATGCAGTGTCGTTTTAAACATAAATAGCGAATCTGAAAAAAAGAATAGCGAGCAAGAATCACGCGAAATAAGACGCTGGATTTGAAAACGCCGTCTTTAAATAAAATGCTTCTCGCCCCATTAACATTTTATCAACGACGTTTAATTGCCAATTTGCCCCAATTGTTTGGCGTCGAAATAGTAACTGAAAATGTCGGCGATGTGAACGTACGCGTGTATTTCAACGTCGATAACGTATTGAACATGCCAATCTAGTTCACGGTGGGTTTTTTTTTCCTAATATCCAGGATTATCACCTCGCTCTTTAACGCGCGGATAAGATTCGCCGGGCCAACGGGATTGGATTAGCGGATCGTTAATTCTATCGACATCCCGTTGCGGGAAACACGTGCGAGGGGAAATTTTCAACCGGGAACTAGCTGGTAAACGCATCGGCGAACGATCGTTCGCGATATGTTCGGGCGGCAAAAACCTTTGTATTCGCTAACGACGAAAAAAAAGGTACGTAAATGCCCGAGATTCTTGCTCGTCAAATTGCTCGGATCTCCTCCCTTGCGCTTCGCTCGAGCACGACGTTTCCCGTGACAGCCGGACGTGGACGAAACCCGAGGCGGAAATTCTCCAACAAGCGGAGAGCCGACGTAATTCATGCGGTCGGAGATAATCGGGCGGTCCTCGGGCGAGAAGAAAAAAGAAGCAGCGGTTCTTTTTTCCACGGGAAGCACGCGGAAAGCTCGCCGCTGCAGCCGTTCATGAGCTAAAAACTCGAGAAAATCGGTGGGAGAAACCGCCGGTAAAAATACATTCTGTAAAACGAGTGACTGAACCCTCGGTACACCCGGGGTATAGAATAGATTTCCGCTAACTTGTATCGGTAGCTATCTACCCTCGGCGGAGGAAAGCGGTCACGTTGCGTCGACCGTGTCGTCGTGTTTCCGGTTACCATGGGAGAAAGTTAAATCGCGCCAGAAGGGGGTAACTCCGCTTCGCGATGAATAAAGATTGCCGTATTATTCAAAGCAGAAGAAAACAATCTGCCCGGGCGACTTCCTCGAGAGAGACCCGTGAGATTGCTGATTAATTTGTCCCGACACTGCACCGACTTCCAAAGCCCCTCTTTGGGTTGCAAAGGGCGAAGTAATCCATTGCCGGGCAACGCCAAGAATCGAGTGCGTTCGCACGATTCTCGATTCGTCAGTCCCGCTGCTGATTCATTTCCTTTGCAGCGTCGATGCACGACGGCTACGCGCGCAAACGAAAGAGGCAATTTTCAGCCGAATCAAACGGTTTTGATCACTCAAGCGACCCCGCTCGAGCTCTACGCCGGCGAACGCGCACGTTCGTATGCAAATACAATCGTCGAGCGATGTGCAAAATGTGCTGTCGGTTGAAAGACCGCGATCAAACACACGGACGGGTACGAATAAACGCAAATACGGATGGTAACAATAAACACGCGGTGAATTTCACGGCGTAAATAGCGTTTCGGAGTCAAGCTTCGAAACGCTAATCCCTAAAGTATGCCGCAATATCCGTTCCACATTTATGTAAGCGTTCAATATTACAATTTATCTGAACAAAAACAATAAAATAAATATGTGAAATAAATATTTCTTCTTTTATGAAATGTGCTCCTGAGCGGACACGAAAGCTCGCGAGTGGTCAACTTTAATCGTTTATTATTTTTTTAAATATTGCGCCCTCTACGCCCAGTCAGGTGTAACTGCTTTCATCCTCGACTTTGGTTGCCCCTCTCTTTAAATTCTTTTGAACGGAGGAACGCTCTGCATGAAAAAAATTGAAATATTGAAATGTGCAACTTGTAGACAGGTGCTTTGAAAGTCGAGAAACGAAAACTACACTGATAAAAATTTGAACCTCACTTTACTGTGAAAATCGGTGATCATTTTTAACCTTCGAATTACGCTGTTAAAATACGTAGTGATTTGTAATTTTATTT